AATTTAATACGGATGATTTAATACACAGGGTAGATGCTCACCACCCCCTTGTATGCGAAGCCCGTCTCGTCCCGAAGCTGCAATCCCGGACGAACGCGAGGCCCCGAAATAGAGGGGGGGGGGGAGAGATAGTACTTGGGAGAGAGAGGGGAAAAAAAGAAAAAAAAAAAGGCAATAGAGCAAAAGCGCAGCAAGCGCAAAAGAGCAGAAGCGGCGAAAGAGCCAAAGCGCAAAAGCCCGTCTGTCCGGCTGACCCGCACTTCTATACTGGGCATGACACTGCATGATATGGAATACTAATTGGCCAGTTTGGCCCTCAATCTTAAGTTCCACCACAAATCACAAGGGGAATCGTGTCCCCCTTGTCCCGGCTATGCTCCTCCCTTATCCCGCCATGCTTCTGCACTCCGGCACACTGAAAAGTCCTTGGAGTCTCACGTCCAACCACAAACATCAGCTTGCTATCAGCGTTCTTCTCAGAGCGAGCCTCTGAGTAAAACCAAAACACGGAGCTCTTCCAGCTGCTAAAAAGAAGAGCTAACCCGGTCCCAGCTAAAACCAGGATGTTGCCTGATTGATTTTACAGCAAGCTTTTAAAACCACTGAAAAAGGAGATAGTAACTTTCTTAAGCAATGTGTAGATCTCAAAAATTTACTCAGTAAAATGACATTAATGCTCCTGTTTGTTTGTTATAAAGCTGATTACATCCTGTATATTTACTTGTATAATCATATTAACTGTCTTAATTTATGAATTGTAAACTGTTCTGCAGAGTCATGAGACTTTGTCTTGGCTGTTGTGCTGCAGCAGAGCAGCTGGGACTTAAAAAGCCAAAAGCATTCGTGCAGTGGCTAAATGTAAGGATGACTCAGCTGAAATTTCTGATGATAATGTGCACTCAGGGAACTTAATAAGCATGTGGTTTGCCTGCAGCGTCTCAGCTGCCGCCTTGTCACAAACAACTTCAGTGACCCCTATGCAGATACACTAAAATATAATCGGCCATTTTTATGCTCTATCAGTGTTAATTTCCTTGAATTGGCTGTATTAAATTTGGGGATTTTTTTTTTAACCTGATAAATTAAAAATGATATGAAGTGAGAAGAATTTTTAGAATGCTGTGGAGTTAGAGGAGAAAAATAACGGCTGTGTGTGCTGTGCATACTGTGTGTTGTATCTAACTGACAGAAGTCCTAGGTTCTGACAGAAATGGAGAGGGGAAGTGAGGAAGGAAAATATTTTTGTTAATACATTTTCAAAAGATGATGTGTTTTTTTTTTTAAAAAAACAGCAAAACATCTTAATGTGGAATGATCAAATTTCAGGGGAGACCTGTTCTATGATAAAATAATGTCTGATTAGCCTCATGTTGAAATTTTTGCAAGTTGTATCTTCCATTTCTCTTTAGATCTATTTTCTTCTCTTTGTAATTGTGTTTGAAACTGTTTAGTCAGTGGAAGATAGGGAGAAATAAGGATCAAAGTGTGGCGATTCTGAGCATTGGGATCCGTTTCCAGTTTTGATGTTGGAATAAAGGGGATGGGCACTACAGCTCCTTTTGGTTCTGTTTCTTCATCTATGAAGTGTGGATAATGGCATTTATTTCTGTGACCAGCTCAGGCTTTTATAGAGGAGAAGGATTGATGACACCATTATGTCCTAGTAGTGGTACTGGTATTCTGTGCAGTTGTAAGCTGTGCAACTGTCTGAAAAAATGCTTTGCAACTGAAAATGACACTATAGTTAACAAGCCTTTGGGCATGGGACTGCCACTGTTGGCTGTGTGGCCATTCAGCAGAAGCCTGTGAGCTATGCTTCGTCTGTTCAATGTTGCAGTCCATCTGCAGCAGCGATATCTCTATTGCATCGTTCTGCTGGAGAGTCAGAAATCGACAGCACTTGAGAGGAAGTGTCCCATGTGATAATTTCACAGCAAAGTCAGTAATTTTTAAGGTAAAATTTTCTGCAAGAGATTTCCCTAACTCAAGCCAATCATAAATGTGGTATGAAAGTTCATTTTACTAAGTAACCTGTCATTGTAACTAGTCCTTGTACCAGTAATGGTAATGGTGATCACATTTTTGTTACTGTAAGTTTCAGTTGCAGTTTGATAGTGTGGTGGTTTACCTTGTTTTTCAGAATTGTGTTGAGAGAGATAGGAAAACGTTTATATTGATCTACGTTTTCCTGTTGTTGAGTAGGAAATGGGCTGCAAGGGTGAGCCTTTTACTCAGCTCTATGTCCCGTTGTTATGAATTACCAGAAGGTCTCAACTGGATTTGCTGCAGACAGCTTGGGAGCTATGAGACTGCTTTACAAATAGTGGTGTCTTGTGCTGTTCACTTTTAACTGTGTGCCAAATAATGTTTCCACACTGAAATTTGGGAATGTGGTATATTTGGGTATTTATACGTACATGCGCAGTGGTTATAATGGGAGGTAGCTAGCATTGTCATGTTATTTTTCTGCAATGATAGTGTGAAAATCCTTGATTAGTACTGTTAAAGATCCTGGTAAGTACTGTTAAAGATGCCAGTATTACATTTGAGTGAGTTATGTGTTATGGTAGCTGTGTAAAACCAACAAAAATGACGCAAATGTCATCTTATGAAGGTTTAAAACTTCTGAGCTACAAAAAGTGCAATAGAATTAGATACATCACGGAATGGAGCCAGTTTAATACAAGTATAAAGAAATACATAAGAAGAGATATAGAATAAGGCAGATAATGGCTATTTCTCTTTTTAAATACTGAAGTTCTGTGTTTGCTTTTTCTTTAACTTCACCCATTTTCTCTCCCCAGGATTGGAATCTGACATGGCATACAGAAAATCCAGACTTCACCCCATGTTTTCAGAACACGGTCCTGGTCTGGATTCCGTGTGTTTACCTGTGGGTCTGCTTTCCAGTGTACTTCCTATACCTTCGTTGTCATGACAGGGGATACATACAAATGTCAAACCTCAACAAAGCCAAAACAGTACGTGACTTTTTAAAATCAGAATTTAAGCTTATCTGGAAGTTTGGATCTATTTTCAGCTATGCTTTAGCACACTTCTTTTGTTGACCATCAATCTTGACCTGTGGGCATGCTTCAGCTGTAACTTATTTGTTCTACTTGTGTTTGATTTCCAAGCCTTATGTGTTTCTGTTGCCCTTTTATCAGTAGGCTTTCTGAAATTTACTCTGCGTGGTATATAGGAGAGTTTTTGTCTCTGCAATCTGTTATTCTGGAGTGAGATTCACCAGCTTTCTGCTTCATAACACGCTGACTTTTATGGTACTAAAAATTAGTAAACTTTTTTCCATGTAGTGGGGATCCAATAGGTACAGCCAAAGTGCTCTTTTGTGCATGTTGTAGAATTGCCCAAAAGAGATGATCTAACTGCTCTCCTACTAACATATAACATCTAGTGTTCATGTATATATTGTCCTGCCTAATCTGTGTGAACTGATGTATGAAATACACTTTTGTGTTGCAGGCTTTGGGCTTAATACTGTGGATAGTCTGCTGGGCAGACCTTTTCTACTCTTTCTGGGAAAGAAGTCAAAATATTTTTCGAGCTCCGTTTTTTCTCGTTACGCCTACAGTATTGGGTATAACAATGGTAAGTTCTTCTGTTACGGCCTTTGTTCATGCAAAGCCTTAAGCAATAACATGCATCTTAGTATTATTTACAGTGTTGTAATTCTTTAAGCTACAATCTTTAAATACAGACTTAATCTACAGTTGAACTGTGAAATACTGACTGTGAAATTTTCTTTTAGTAAAAAAATTAGGAAAAAACCCCAACCCATCTGTGCTCAGCATGTTGCTAAGCCAGTGCTAGTTGTCTTGCCTTATTTTGGTAGGCTTGAGCTACCATTCGTTTAACAGCTTGACTCAAGTATGGGATGGAGGAATGAAGTCGAGAGAACTGATGAAACCTGGATAATACAAATCACACTGAAATTGGTAAAAGACTGTTGGAGGCATTCCATTATTATCTCCTGACAAACTCTCTTGCATGTAACATTCTTTAGTGCATGTTTTCTTTGTTACATTTGATGGCACGGTGGAAAGTCTTAAATGCCACGAGGCACATAGGTGTCCTCCACTAACTCTTTCTACCTAGATGCACAAGCATTGGCTGCTTTCGCACCCGCGTCTCTGCAGCCTGCATTTCAAGGAAAGTGCCTTGCTATTCATTTATTGTCAGTTGCCTTACATTTATCACAGACTTGGAATGGTAGTGATTAAACATGATACTCAAGACTGGGACTGGGCCGGACAGGACACACAAACCCTAACAGTAGTAATGACAACAAAAAACAAACAAAGAAACAGAAAACCCCCAACAGCCCAGAAACATACTGACAGGTGCAAGAGCTGTTAAATAGTTTGTGGTCATTTAATTGTCAAGCTGTTGTCAGGCTGATTCAAAATGCATGTTGCACCAGCCAAGTGAGATTTCTAAATTGTACCAGCTTCCTAAAGGACTCTGAAAACACACAAAATACAGAAATAGAGTAATGTTTAGTCAGTGTTGTTTGGTGCTGTGGCTTGTATGGAAAGAAATATTTTTTATTTAAAAAGAATTAGTCAGGAAATACTTGGAAAGGATATCTTATCACTATAATTACATGTTGATTTGTGATGTAGAACCAGAAGAGGAAAGAAATAAAGACTGGCAGCTGTTGATAGTGCTTTTGTGTATGTGGTCACTTACTTCTATGTAGTACATAATCCTTTTCTCTTTTTTATTTGCTTCTTATCTTTACTGCTCCAGAGAATTTCCTATTAAAACGTATTTTTGAATTACACTTAAAATCTCTGGGTGTTAGAATGTTTGAGAGATACTGGATTTGAAACATTAAATGAGCACACTCTAACACAGTACCTTGTATATGTCTGTAACGTATTGTAAAACTTAAAGCTTGTGAATATATTTTTATCTTATTTCTTCACAGTTGCTTGCCACATTTTTAATACAATATGAAAGGTTAAAAGGAGTCCAGTCTTCAGGTGTAATGATGATTTTCTGGCTCATCTCATTGTCATGTGCCACAGTGGTTTTTAGATCCAAAATACATGCCTTAAATACGGTAAGTGATTGCTAGCTTCATTCAGTGGAAAATAATCCCAAATGCTGCAGTAATAGAGTAGCTGCTTGTTAATTATACTAGTCAAGTCAGTTAATGATCCATTCAGCATATGTTCACTCCTTGGGTTATAAAAGCAAAACAAGTAAGACGTAATGGCTCCTGTTTTGAAATACTAGTGCAATTCATAGTGATCTTAACTGTAGCAACAGTTGCCAAGAAACTTCTGCTAGCTGTTCCAGAAAGGGGATGTGTCTGCTTAAGTACAATAAAAGAGTATAATCTTTGAAATGAAACTGTTCTGGGAGTTTACGTCATCTTCCTGTTGATTATACAGTGGATTTCCTGAAACGCTTGGTTTAATGTTTGTGGTCTCATCTGCTGAGACAAAATGAAAGTATACAAGTGAAATATTTTTGTGTCAGTCTGCTTTGTAGTAAGGCCACCTCAAGTATCAGATTAACTATGGAGCTGCCCAAAAATGTTGTATCACTTCTATTGCTTGAAACCTTTAAGCCATGTTGTGAATTTTGAGAACTTTCAGCCAACTTTTGTCTTTAGGTGTTGGGAATGAGATTTTACTGGTGGGTGTGTGTGGATGTCTGTCCATCCATCCCTGTGCTTTGATTTCTGTGGATTGTGCTTTATGTATCTGTCCCAGTCTAAAAAATTGAAGAACTTCTGGAATTTGAACACAATGCGACGAACTGTAATCTAAATTCTGCTCCTCTGGTGCTTATTTTCTGTGTGCATACTAATTAACAAATTTGCTTTGATGACTCCTAAGCTACCCAGTGCATAAATACCTTGACTGCTAATTGAGGCAATCTGTTGGTACAAACCATGTCTTAAAGGAACTTCTCTACAGAAGAAGTTCATGCTTTTGTGTTTATGGCAGTGATTGATTAAAAATAACTAATGTCTTTCATCTTCTCCGCCCTCTCTTTACCTTCCCTTTACCAAAATAGGCATTGACTTCAATTTGCATGGGGGTGGGTAGTGTAACATTTATGTAGTTTGTAGAATTTGCAGTGTGGAGCTGTTTTGTGTTTAATAGTAACATGTTGTTTTAAATAAATTCCTCAAGTCTTCTAACTGGAATATTACCTTCCTTTGTAGGGTGCTGAAGTGGATGCATTTCGTTATGTCACCTTCTGCATCTACTTCACGCTATTATTTGTACAGCTCATCCTGTGTTGTTTTCCAGAACGACCTCCTTTGTTTTCTGAAACAGTGAACGATCCTGTAAGTGTTCAGTCTATACTGAGTGCTGAGTGTCGTACATGCAGTATTCTGTACAATGAGTTGTGAGGCCATAGTCTCCCATAGGCCAAATAATTCAAATCTTGTTGACTTATTTCCACTGAAGTGTAGCATTCTTTCTGCTCTTTGGTTGGTGATGCAGAAGATGAAGCCCATAACATGCAAAACAGGGAGGGCTGTATTTAAGAGGAAGAGCAAAAATACCATTTCAGTCATTTCTGAATAGCGATCCTGAAGGTTGTCATATGTTTTTATGTTCAGTAGTGCCTCTGGCAATCAATGGGAAACATTGATTTGAAATGCTGTCCTCCTAGTCGTCTGGTACCAATCAGTAGGCAATAACTTGTAAGAATGTGTATTCTCTTGCTGTTGAAGGTGGGGAATAATCTATACCTGGAAAACTTGGCGAATCTGGATAGGTTAATTTGATTTCCATATTTACCTCTTTTGTGTCAAGCAAAAATTTAACCTGCTTAATTGCAAGAGCAGTTAACTTTAGAGGGTGATCTGGATGTAGAAATTTAATTTTATCTAGACGTGATCACTTTTTGCATGTGTTCTTAGTTCTGTGTACTAGCTATGTGACATGGATCTAAAGCGGCTCAAGGGATGGTGGATTGTTATACTGCTTGCTTAGCCCCTGGCTAGACCTTCTGAGTCACAGTGGAGTGACACCTGTCACTGCCTGGAGTTTGGATGTACCAAGTTTAGAAACCTCAATTCTGTAATTTTTTTATAAGGCATAATTCCAGTTTGTTGGATGCTAGGTGACACTGACAAAGGAAGGTGTAAAATGTGTGAGGGGGAAATAAGTGTTGCTTTTGTAACTGTGGAAAAGATCCATAACCAGTTGCATTTACTGAATTCCACAGTTATGTTCTCCCTTGGTATCCAATGTGCCAGTGGTGCTCAGCATTACCACTGGCAAACAATCTGCATGTATACACTTGGAGGGAAGAGTATATACTGCTGAGTCTTGGGATCCTCTTCATCTTTGGGTTCTTTTCATCTCTTTCAGGGATGAAATATATTTGACAGGATAGTGGATTTATGGAAACCTTCTTTTCTGCTTGGTTACAGTAATTACAAGGTGCTTTGAGACCACAGTGGCTTGTTTTTGTGTTCTGAGTATTTCTAGCAGTGTGCCTAGGAAATAGGGCAGACTTCAAATTTTAACCTTTTTTCATGAGCGATGTGTTCATTGAATGTTATAGTAGCGAAAAAGGAAAGCAAGTCACATTAGTCAGTCTTCAATTCTGCTTTATTCCTTTCTGCCCAGTATTTCCAAACCAGAAATGTTCATAAGTCTTAAGTGAAATTTTATTATATGTTTACTTAAGCCAAAAAACGAGAGTGAAATTTCTAAGATGTAGGTACTGATGTACATACAAGTCAAACAATGTGGTTTGTCTCTTCTTTTCACTTTGTTTACATTACATAAGTCCAGTCTTCTTACAACTCTTTATGTTCATTCTATCTAGTGTGAATGTTGGTAGGATTGATTGTTCTTTGTGTGATAACTATTTAATTTTATAAAATATAGTATTATTTTGACAGTAATTTAATATGGTTTAGTATTTTAAACTTTTGCTTTATGCAAATGAAGACCAGTTTTTGGTAGTTCAAGATCTAGTGGACTCTTGAATTTAGAGTTTCCACCTGCAAGTAGATTACAAAAAGTATTAAGGAAAAAAATAATACAGCATTTTATATAAAGTTCAGAAAATTTTGAAATTTTGTTGAAGTTGAAAGTATTCCCTGAATTTGCTGAAGTAGAAATCTGTTTGCCAGGAAAGGTGGCATGGCTGAAGGCTGAAAGTACTGCCCGCCCCCCCACCCCAGCTCAGTAAGTGATGGTGTTGACTTTGCTTGCAATCGTTTTGCTGCAAGCGTTTAAATACTTTGGAAACGTGGAACTCTTACCCTTTCAGAAGAGTATCTGTCTGATACATACTCTTGTTCCCTACAAAGTTGCAAAAAAACTTGTCCTGTGAAGAAGAGGAAATGCAGGAATCTGTTTCATGTAGCTTGATTACAACAGGCTTCAATATAGCTCAGTGGAGAAGTCAGGTTACACAAACATGAGTTGAAAAGTGCAAATCTTGGGAACACTTGGCTCTGGCTGTTTTAATTGCAGTACTCTAGTGATGTTTGGTGACTTTTATAGATGGAAATACCTGAGCTGCTCCCATTATAGTTGATGATAGAACCTAGTGCTTTGTCTCCCAAAGGGTGACTGGTTTTAGCATTCTTTAGATGCTGTTCAGAGCAGTGAAAGAGGGAAGAGAGATATCTGCAATGGAATTCTGCAAGTAAATCACCTTTAGCATCTTTGAAATTTTTCCAGCCTTCCTTGCTGCTGTTTTAATCCAACCAGATTAGGAGAGGATATTAATCTGAAAGAGTAGTTAAAACAGCCATTGCACTGGATGTAGAACACGAGCTAGCTGTGTGCCATGATGGGTACTGAAGTTTCCCGTGCTTATTGATGCAGGGTTTGTAGGGACTATTTTGGGATGCTTTTATGGAGTGTACAATTATTTTTTTTTTTTTCATTGGTACGTTTGTTTTGATGGAGTCACAGTAGAACAGTAGAACTGAATTCTTCATTTATGGCTAACTGTACCCAATTAACATATTTATGCTGTCCTATGGTAGCATACTTTTGCATTAATATAGGTAGGCACCAGTCATGACATCTTGAGAGATTCTGGCCTGCATTGTCCTATAAAATTCCCTCAGCTATTTGTTGTGTTGTTGATACAGAGCATTGCTGTTTCTGTGTCTCAGTGATCTAGTCTGCTGAAAGCCCTGAAGTTCTGTTTGTGTTTTCTGAACAAGCTCTCCACAGCATAAGTGACAAGTTTAGTAATGAAAAAAAAATACTATAAACAAAAGGAATTTCAAATGCATCTTTTCTGCTTGGTTTGTTTCTTTTGGCCCTGTATCAGTCACTTTGTATGTGAATTGATTTCTTTTTCTCTCTTTTAGAATCCATGTCCAGAGTTCAGTGCTTCTTTCCTCTCCAGAATCACATTCTGGTGGATCACTGGGTAAGATCAAGATGATGCGTAAAGCAGCAGTTAGTTAGGTGGCATTTTAGGATCCTGCTTTCATAGTTAGATTAGCAACAATAATGCAATAATAATTGTGGTGAATTTGGTTGGTTGTTTTGTAGATAGATTAAATTGTTTTTTTTTTTTCAAATTTGATTAATCTTTTTTACGTTCTTTGTAGGATCTTTGTAATTTTAAATTTTGCCAGTATATATTTAGTATGCTTGCTGAAAAATATAGTAAAAACATTTTCTCAGGGAAATACAAGAAGGTAGGCGTTATTTGCTCTATTTAGAAACTAAAGCATTCAAAACTGTTACCTCTTTTTGTCCAATAGGTTCTTTTTTTCTCATAACTTAGCTTTAGTTGCACTGTCTGATTTGATCACAACACATGTTCTTGTGGGTTAAAAAACAGAAACATGTAAAACAATATTGGTGTATAGTTGTGGTTGGTGCTTGGCCAGAGTTCCAAGAGAAAGCTAGATGAAAGGAATTGCTTTGTAAAATTAAAGGCTAATAAAGATTTCGTAACTTGGTAGGCATGGGAATATTAATTGCCTGGCTGATTTTCAAATGAGATCACTTCATCCTTTCTTTTATTTTCTCTGAAATTTGAATTCAGTGACATATCCTGGATCCTTAGATTATTTGGTGTCTAATTCTCACAGTAAAGATAGGAGGATATATGTTTTAGCATCTGGACCTGTGTTGCTAGAGGTGCTAACTCTTGCATACGTTTTTGTGAAGAGCTGAATGTAAGGACCACTGTCTACAGCATGTATCTGTATATACAAACACATCTCTTTAGTTTTCTTAAACACACAGTGCTGATTCTTTCTAATACAGGTTGATGATTCAGGGTTATCGGAGACCTTTGGAAGCCAAGGATTTGTGGTCATTAAATAAAGAGGACAAATCGGAGGAGGTAGTGCCAGGTTTGGCTAGAAACTGGGCAAAAGAGTGGGCAAAGACCAAGAGGTAAGTTCAGTTATCCTGGCTGGCAGTTCTTCCAAGATATGGAAATTCAAAAGCTCAAGTTACTTAGCCTCTACTTAGAGGTGTTGTGTGTTGCCAATCCTGCCTTTGTAAGGCCCAAGTGGCAGCTCTGTGTTTGTCCTTAAGTACGTACAGAACAGGAACCAAGTAGGGTGTTGTGTGTCGTCTTTATGAAGAGCTGCATTGAGTTTCCCTTAGCCTTTCATGATCCAAAGCTGATTATTGTTACTTTTGACGTTTGATTTTTCCCTGGGAAGGGAATATTGTCATCTGGTCGAACCCCAGTCATGTAATTTAGGAGCTTGGGCTCCCTCTATAGTTAGCGAAGCCTCAGGAGGGCAGTTCAGGGTGTGAAAGTGAGCAGCTTATTTCTTTCCTTTGACTATACAGGGAACCTGGGCACTTAAGCCAGATGACTGAAATTAGAAAGACTGCATGCCTGCAGTTTCCATCCTGCTTTCATCATCCTTTACTGCAGCAAATAGAAGTACTTTTTCATTGAAGGAAAATTGCTTGCTTGCTTGCTTGCTTACACAGTGTATTTTTACATACAGCTTGTCCTGAGAAGTTCGGAAGTATGTAGTTTGGCATAAGCCAGATGTATGAAATGAATGTGTTCAGTCCATTGGGAGCGACTTGGCGTAAATCTGACTGCAGTCTTTTAACTCCGGTGGTACAGTGAGGCCTTGATTTTGATGGAAGTTCAGCATACTGGATTCTAGAATAGTAATTTACTTTGCTCTTTAACACAGATTACAGCCCCATTCCTTATGCTCCAGAACAGCCCTATAGGAGAGATTCAACAGGAATGTTACCTATCCCTACAAAGATGACCATTTCTGAATGGCGAATTCATTTAGCTATGGTTGTATGATTAAAAAGATGTTTGATTGACAGTAAAACCCAGTTAATTAAGAAGGGAAATAAACAGCTCATAAGTATCTCATTTGTATACTGTGTGTTTTTCCAGTTGGCTTAATGCTTGAATAAAGGCTACATTATATACCTACTGTTATTTCAGGCAACCATTAAACATGTTGTACTCGTCCAAAAAGCAGCAAAAATCAAGTGACTCAAATGGTGATGCTACAGAAGAGGCTGAAGCTTTGATTATAAAACCATCTCAGAAGAGCTCTGAAGCATCTTTATTCAAAGTGTTATATAAAACCTTTGGACCATATTTTCTCATGAGCTTCCTGTTCAAAGCTGCACATGATCTCTTGATGTTTGCAGGCCCACAAATTCTGAAGTAAGACCTGTACGCTTTATTACTGTATTAAAAGTTTGTGGACAACATTTAAAACACACTGGTATTTCACTCACTAAGCTGCTTTGCATTCGACTGGTTCAGTGGGGAGAATTGCCATGCAAGTTAGAGACCATGCAAACAGATGACTTTGATCCATTGGTTTTCCAATTACAGCATCATGAATTAAATGTTTGACTTTTTATGTTCCTTTCCAACACTAGGAAGGCCAGTCAGGATCATAATCACCAATAGCAGGGGAGTTCATTTAGTTCTAACCTGTAATGATTGTTGGACTACAAGTCACAGTATATGAAGCAACAGAGAGCTAAGGGATAGGAGGAGTTGTGTTGCTTTAAGGTGAGAAGAAGTAAAACAACTGTAATCAGTTGTGTTTTAGCTGGAGGGAATATGAGACTTTTTAGTGTAGCTCCAAGAGAATGCTGTACATGTAAGGTATGTGATACTTTATGTTTTAAAGTAGTACATTGCTAGGAGGAGGGAGTAGTTTGTGCTAGTGTAAAATGATCTCTAGTTTCTAAGTTTGCTTAGGTGTTTTATCTAAGTTTGGTTTCTTGGGTGCTTGCATGACCAGTATAATGTTTGGAATAATCTAAGGTTATAACCTTGACATTTAATTTTGATTTGTGTTTATCAAGAGAACCAATTCCTCTCTCCACAGGTTGCTGATCAACTTCGTAACTAACAAAGCTGCCCCAAACTGGCAAGGTTACTTTTATACAGGGCTGATGTTTGTTTGTGCCTGTCTTCAGACACTGATTCTTCACCAGTATTTTCATATTTGCTTTGTAACTGGGATGAGGCTCAAAACAGCTATTGTTGGTGTAATTTATCGAAAGGTAGGTGTTTATTTAAATATATGACAACACCTCTCGGTGACTGTGCAAATGCATTGTTTAAGTCTGAATAATTAAAGTAGTTAGCAATCAACCTACCAAAGTCTCCTAACTTTTAATAGGAATAAGAGTGTCTAATTTGTAAATAAAAGCCTTTAAGATAGAGCAGTTTTCTAATTTACTAATTCAGGCACCACCTTCTTCCCGTTGCCAAACAGGAAACCTTGTCGCATTTAGGCTAGAGGTGTGAAACAGCTTCAGTTTGTGCAGAAATTAAGATGTATCTGCATTTGTAGCTTTTTTTTGGGACTTAGCAGCAGTGGCACCTCATCTTGGTGCTGGAACACTTTAGAAAGCTGTGGACTGCTTACTCTGTGTGAGAAAAATGTGTGAGAAGAAGTGAAGATTCAGCTTCTTACACTAAAAAACAATCTAAGCAAACAATACCTCTGCCCAAGCAATAAAACGACTAAACAACCCTAACCCCAAAGACTGCTTGTTGTCTTCAATTCTCCATTAGTTTAAACTCAGCTGGTTACTTCAAACTATACAACTCGTGTTTTGTGAGATGTGCAAAGTAAACAGAATATGAAGCAGGAGAAGGATTGTTTGCAATTTTAAAGATGAAGCTCTGTAAAGCAATTGAATTCTGTGGAGAAAATGCAAATGTAAGTCTTCCTTCATGTCGCCTTGTTTTTTATTTTTAATCTGCACCTAGGCACTTGTTATCACAAATTCTGCTAGAAAGGCTTCTACCGTGGGTGAGATTGTGAATCTAATGTCTGTGGATGCTCAGAGATTCATGGACTTGGTTACCTATATAAACATGATTTGGTCTGCACCTCTCCAGGTGATATTAGCACTGTACTTACTGTGGCAGGTGAGTATTGTGGGTTGTTTCCTGTTTTGACTTTAGCAACATGCTGCTTCCTATGGTCATGACTACACCAGCCAGCAACTTGGTGTAGTGGAAGATGTCCCTGCCCATGGCAGGGGGGTTGGAACTAGATGATCTTTGAGGTCCCTTCCAACCCAAACCTTTCTGTGATTTTATGACTACAGACAGCTGTTGTTCAGACCACTGGAGGGTTTACAGCAGTGTGGAGAAAACGCTGCTTGTTTAGAAGACATTCAGAGCTGCTTTTGTCACTGCTGTCAAGAAGGAGGGCAAGAGGTTCTTAATTTGCACGTCTGAGTGGATGAGGGGATGATGCAGATGTGAGCTACTATCTTTTGGGGGATTGGAGCACCTATAGTATCTCACTTGTCAATTGATTTAAAGACAAGTGGTCTTGGTTCCACACTGTGAAAGTTACTGTATGAGATGTTTGCTATTTCTAGTCCAGACAGTTACCAGGCTGACTCTTAAATTCTCACTGTCAATGGGAAAGCTAATGAAATTCACCAAGAAGTTGGTCACTCCCTGCATGGGTCTCTACTTCAGAAGAACAGAAAAACCAGCCAAAACTGGAAAACATTAAAAGATCTCTATGTGTGTGTGTATGTGTGTGTGTGTATATATATGGAGAAAACAGAACCCTCTCTATATGAGGGCTATATATGTATGTTTGTTTCAAAAATCAAAGTACATAAACATCCTGGAGAGAAGAGAGGCCCAAGAAAGCTGGTTAATATTCAAGGATCACCTGCTCCAAGCTCAGGAGTGGTGCATCCTTACAAAGACAAAGTCAGGCAAAACCGCCAGGAGGCCTGCATGGATGAGCAAGGAGCTCCTGGACAAACTCAGACACAAAAAGGAAGCCTACAGAGGATGGAAGCAACAACAGGTGGCCTGGGAGGAATACAGAGAAGTTGTCTGAGCAGCCAGAGATCAGATTAGGAAAGCTAAAGCCCTGATGGAATTAAATCTGGCCAGGGATGTCAAGGGCAGCATGAAAAGCTTCTATAGGTACGTCGGTGATAAAAGGAGGACTAGGGAAAATGTTGGCCCTCTCTGGAAGGAAACGAGACCTGGTTAGCCAGAATATGGAGAAGGCTGAGGTACTCAGTGACTTTTTTGCCTCAGTCTTCGCTGGCAAGTGCTCCAGCTGCACTGCCTGAGTCTCAGAAGGTAACGGCAGGGACTGGGAGAATGAGGAAGTGCCCACTGTAAGAGAAGATCAGGTTTGAGACCATCTAAGGAACATGAAGGCATACAAGTCCATGGGACCTGATAAAACGCATCTGTGGGTCCTGACAGAACTGTCAGATGAAGTTGCTAAGCCACTATCTGTCATGTTTGAGAAGTCGTGGCAGCCTGGTGAAGTTCCCACCAACTGGAAAAGGGGAAACATAACCACTGTTTTTAAAAAGCAGGAAAAGGAAGGCCCAGGAACACTCACCTGTGTGCCTGGCCAGACCATGGAGCAGATCCTCCTGGAAAGTATGCTAAGGCATATGGGGGAAAAAAAGGAGGTGACCAGAGACAGCCAACATGGCTTCACTATGGGCAAATTGTGCCTGAACAAATTTGGTGGCCTTCTATGACAGGGTTACAGCATTGGTGGATAAGGGAAGAGCAGCTGCCATCATCTGCCTGGACTTGTCCAGTGCATTTGACACTGTCCCACATGACACCCTTATTGCTAAATTGGTGAGACAGGGATTTAACAGATGGACCACTCAATGGATAACAAATTGGCTGGATGGTCGCACTCAAAGAGTTGCGATCAACGGTTCAATGTCCAAGTGGAGGCCAGTGACGAGTGGTTCCTCAGGGGGTCGGTCCTGGGGCCAGTGCTATTTAACATCTTTGTCGGCGACATGGACAGTGGGATGATTTTCAATAAATGTTTACAATTAAGTGCTTTTCAGAATTTAGGTCCTTCAGTACTGGCAGGTGTGGCTGTCATGATTCTTCTGGTTCCAGTAAACGCTGTGATGGCAATGAAGACAAAAACCTATCAGGTTAGAACCTTTGTATATGTGACAGTGTTTCTAGTAAACATGTTCTGTTCTTTGACTTGTTCCTGAGGTTTGTCTTATAATTATTTTCCCTCCCTCTATTTATCCCTTAAAAAAAATGGAAGGGAAAGAAAAGTCAGAGGTGTTGTGTACATAATGGTCTAAAAATTTTGCAGTAGTTAAGACCAAGGTAGCAGGTAGCCAGCTTCATGAAATGTCTGATGATTGGATTGGAATTAGTTTAGTTTTTAACTTGCTGCCTGAGAACTAAAGTGCTGGTGTAAACAGCTGTCTGCCTAATGAACCTTAATGAGTGAGATACTCAGATTTCCGGGATGGTCTTGCAATGTTGGAGATGTGTTCTTGGTTTGGTTGGGGATCTTTTCCTCTCTCTCTTTTTTTTTTCTTTTTTTTTCCTGGAGGGAGAGAAGACTTAGGTGTTGGCTGTTATTGATTCCTAGTTGATTGTATTTAGAGGGGATCGGTTTGTTACAGAGAGTGCACATAAATTAAGTGTAGACTCAAACTCTCATGTTTTATATTGCAAAGTCTGCTTCCAGTAGCCCCACCACATGCTTTCTGGTACAGACTTCACTACTAACTGAATTTACCAAATGTCAGAGAGGTTGATTTATTTAAATGAAACCTTTTAGCTCTAGATGTTAATCAAAATATGCCACAGCATTTGGTTCCTACAGAGCAGAAGTAGAGATATCTAGCCTGTCATAGCCACACTGCCACTGCTGATAGCTGTGCCGGTGAAGTCTGCTGACTGCCTAGTGCTGAGTCAGAACATCATTTCAGCTTTGCACTGCCCTCATTAAAATACTTTATGTAGATGGAAACTTCTGAAGAAACCTGAATGGAAAGGTGCCTTAGTGAATTTACCTTGCACCATCAGAAGCCATTGATAGTGCTGAAAATGAAGCAAGACCAAGTTTGGTCTAAGGTTGGGTGCAAACTGCACATTACTGAAGCTTGATTATAGTGGCTTATTTTTTAACTAGGAGGAACCTGAGTTCTGGGGCTCTCTGATGCAAGGTTAATCCCACTTAAACCAGTGCCACAATCGTTTTGATTTTGGTTTGGGTTTTTAGTTGCATGAAGCATTCTTTTAACTGGTTTAAAACATCTTGTTAATTCTGCATATTTGTTTGTTCAGATAACATCTCAGATTTCCTGCTTGGGAAACTAGTAAGCTTTTGATGATAATGAGGTAAATTTTGCCATTGCAAAATATAAAGCTGAGAACTTTGTGGGTCTGCCAAGTATTGTGCTCTGCTAATTATTTTTTGCAATGTTGTTTTTAGGTGGCTCAAATGAAGAGCAAAGACAACAGAATTAAGCTGATGAATGAAATTCTCAATGGGATTAAAGTTCTGAAACTTTATGCTTGGGAATTAGCCTTCAGAGAGAAGGTATTAGAAATCAGACAGAAAGAACTCAAAGTCCTAAAAAAATCTGCTTACCTTGCTGCAATGGCAACCTTCACTTGGGTTTGTGCTCCTTTTTTGGTAAGTGAAATAAATCTAGATGTCTGCTCTCCTTTTTGAGATTGTGCTTTCCAAGGCAATGCTTGAGAATTTGTTTTGGTTTTGTTTTTTAATGGGTGGAAGAGTCAGAATGCCCTCTGCAGTGGTGCGAAATTGAAATTCTCTATGAAAAGGCAATACTGTTTTCTTTGAAACTTAGTAATGTCCACGTCGGGTGTGTTCTAGAAGTTAATGGCTAAAGTATTTAAAATAAAAACCTCTTCTGCATCCTCCTGTACTTTTGGTGGTGTACTTGAGGAATCTAAGATGAAATGTGCTGTCGGATTTAGAAAGTTACTAATGCACGTAGTACCCTCCAGGTGGTAGTTGTGGCTAACAGAGTAAAGATTCCCTTTTTTCAGAATTTTTCTGAGAGCAGCAGGCTCTTTGATAAGAGTCCTTGATCGAATAGGACATTGTGCACCAGACGTACCTCTGACCTGGGTTCTACCAGCATCTGTTTAAGAACAATGTGGAGAGGTAAAGCCATGGCATACCCTGGGATTGCTTTACATTCTTATTTAAAAAAAAAATATTCTTGATATGTAAAACATCCCACTGTATTTGTGGTTGGCTTACATTTAAACTAATAACAGGAAGAGAAGGGTGAGATCACACCAAAATTTCTTCAGACCCTTTTAGAACAAGGGGCTATTGCTCATCTGCAGAAGCCAATAAAAGCCATGACTACATTAGGATAAAATATGTGATGTTCCAGTTGAAGGTGTTTAAGTTTACTTTCCAGTCTCAAATTCCTTCCCCACAAATGTTTTTAGTGTTTACATTATGTTTTGGGCATGATGAAAGGCAGAAGAAGCAGTGCCCTGGGTAGGAAACATCAGCTGCATTCTTAAGTGAATGCTTTTCTAAAAGAAGTCTGAGATGATTTTAATATAAATACATTATTAAATGAAGTTTCTATATAAAACTCTGCAGATGAACTACTTAATGCTGTTCCATGGAGTCTGAGAAGCCAAATTTTCCGAATGAGTAGCTGTGTTTCAGCACACATTGTGAATGTGTGGCCATGGCCCTACACCTTGGGGCGTTTGGCACTGCGGCAGAATCCGTACAGCCTCAAGTGCAAGGCTGCATCCTGTTTCTTGGCTTTTTGTTCTTTTGTATATGTTCATCTGAACTTCTGATTAAAGAATTTTTGCAAGTGCCTACTTGAAAGCACTTCTGACATGCAAAACTCTACTTCTCCTGTTTCTGTGGCCAGGGCTCTTTAAAGCATTGTTTAATAGTGGTGTTAGGAAACTATTAATTTTGCAGTACCGCCCCTGCTGCTGTGTGTGCTGATAAGGGTGTATTTCAGGGTAATTGCTGGTGACACAAGAGTGCAGACATGCTGCTTGTGAGGTTATTCTTTGGACCGTGTCTTGTTTTTAATCTCCCTGGGAGGGCTTTCTCCCTGGGATGTGGTTGTCCAAAATGAGGATTGTACAAACAAGCTACTGTACCAGGCACAGCTGAGCCAGCTGCCGTATGAAGAACAATACACGTCTTCACAGCAGTCAGATTTTTAACAGAAATACTAATGTCTTCAATGGATGCTGTGCTTAGATGAGACTGTTCCTTAGTCATTTGAGCTAATTGTTTCAAGTCTTGTGGGAGGGAGAATGCCAAAGGTTAGTCTACCTCGATTTCTTGTTTTAAGTGGCAGTCTGTGGGAA